AAGATGACAACCAAAAAGAAATGTTACAAGTTAAGATGCTGGAGATTCAAAGTTAGAAAGGAACTAGCAACTCTGGAAAGGACAGACACATGCAATTAAAGCACCCAAACAAACTGGGGCACCGCTCCCAAAGCGGGGAGAGAATAAGATCTGTCACTTGAATTAGATGCCTTTTCAGTGACTCAGAAGTTATCGTTAAACTCTTCTTCCTTCCTGCAGGATTGAGGCACTCCGAGACGTACGCCCTGACTGCGCCCAGGTGTTTATCTCCTATCCTCCCAACGTACTCAGCTTTTTTATGGCCCTGCATATAAAACACAAGAGACTCCGCAGGGACAAACTGTGCGAGCCCATTACTCCCATTCATACAGACGCACGGTACACTAATTACAGTGAAACAGAGCAACGTCATGGTGAACCTTGAAGCCTCAAATCCTCAGGGTACGACATCACACAAAGAGCTGTGACCACAAAAGGGCGCAGCTCCCAATACCGAAGCAGAAAGTCAGTGCGCTGCGCGTGTTGTATACCCCGTGCGCAAACTGTACAAATACAGCAGCCTTCCTACATTTTAAGATATTTCAAACTCCTTAAAGTAGACCAGTGAGTTTGGCATGTATAAGCCATCTTGGGCAAGAAACTTGAGTAGCAACGTGGTGCCAAACAGTAATGTGAGGAAACGCAAAGACGCAAGGAAAACTGCACGACAACCTGACTGCACCTATCCCTTCCCAAGAATCTTTTGCAAATTTAAGTAAGCATGCGAGCTTCCAAGCCCTCGGACCTGGAGAAAAAGGATTTTCTTTATGGTTCCTCCTGTCCAAGCAATAAGTTTTCCATCTTAAATTTCCGCAGTTCATGCCGTACGTGTCTACAGGTAGTAAGCAAGCCTCACGCGTTCGGTGTCAAAAGGAAAAAAAAAAGCCGATTCCTCCAGGTTTAGCGGCCAAGTCAGCAGGGCTGCTTTGAGGGGAGAGCGCGGAAAAGCCCAGCCGAGCAGGGCAGCGCCGTCTCCCGCCCCGCACACGCCGGGGCCCTGCCGGCTGCGCAGGAGGAGGGCAGCTGGATGCGGGTGCGGGCATGCAACA